AGGCCTAAGTCTGAGGAGTCCTGCTGGGACTTTCCCTCAGGAAGGGCTCCTCAGCCTACAGGTGAGAAATCATGTGGCCAAACAGAACTCACTTCCTCCCCAAGTAGTTCCCCACCGGGTCTCCCCAGCAGCACAAGACACCACTGTCCCTCCGGCTGCCCCACGAGCCCACGCCATTGCCACACTCGAATCCGCTCTTCATCTGGCCCACACCCACCGCCAGCCACCTGGGCTCTTAAAAACAAGCTGAATTGTGTGCTGCTTCCCTGTTTAAAAAGTACTCAAACCCAGCCCTAGCCGGTTTGACTCAGTGGATAGAGCATCGGCCTGCAGACTTAAGAGTCCTGGGTTCGATTTCCGTCAAGGGCACATGCCCAGGTTGCGGGCCAATCAATGATCCTCTCTCATCATTGATGTTTCTCTCTTCCTCTCTCTAAAATCAGTAAAAATATTTAAGAAAAAAAAAGTACTCAAGCCCAGACGACTGGCTCAGTGGTTGAACCAGGAAGTCATGGTTTGATTCCCGGGTTGCGGGCTTGACCCCCAGCCTCCCATCCCTTCCTCTGAAATCAATAAAAATATATTTTTAAAAATATAAAAGTACTCGAGGGCTTTCTGCAGACTCAGGGTGAGCCCTCCAGCCTGCCTTGCGGGGACTCTTCCCAGTCGGCACAGCCGGACCCACCCCAGGTCCAGCCACGTCCCCTCAGAGGCCGCCCCGACCCGTCAGCGCCTGTCATATCACCGTCCTTGCTTTTCTCTCACAGCACTTGTCCATCGTCTCTCCCAGGGACCTGCCTTCCCCTCCCCTTCCGCCCCCCCTCCCCCGGGCCCTGAGTGGGGTCCTGCCTGCCGAGTGGGTGAAGGTTTGTCCTCCTCACTCTGGTGCTGATCACCTTCCAGAGGTAAAGAGTTTGAAACTAGAGAATAAAGAAAACCTGGGGCTTCTCAAAAAGCTTCCCAGCAACCTAGGAAAGGGGTTGGGAAAGGCGCCCTCTGCGTGGGACCGTTTCCCGGCGGCAGTGGCACGGAGTCCCAGAGACAACACGTCTGTGCAATGGCCCTATTCAGTCATCTTTTTGAAAAAACATGTATTTTTATTGATTTCAGAAAGGAAGAAAGAGGGAAAGAAAGATAGAAACATCAATGATGAGAGAAGATCATTGATCGGCTGCCTCCTGCACGCCCCCCACTAGGGATCGAGTCTGCAACCCGGGCCTGTGCCCTTGGCTGGAATTGAACCCGGGACCCTTCAGTCCGCAGGCAGATGCTCTATCCACTGAGCCAAACCGGCTAGGGCTATTCAGTCATCTTTATTGAGGCACAAAATCCAGACACCTTGGTGGCTGGTATCCCTGAGGGCAGGCCCCCAAACCTCACCCCATTTCACGATCCTCCTGGCCCGCTGGGCCCCCCTGAGCCCCCAGGCACTCCGAGCCCCTGGCTGCAGGAGAGTTCTGGTTGTCTCCTTGAGAAACGGCCTCCTCTTTGGAAATGGCCTCACTCAGACTCTGCAGGTCATCCAGCAGGACAGAGAGGGATTCTGGGAAAGACCAGGGGATGGAGCCAGACAAGAGAAGGCCATGAGGTTCTGTGCAGAGGAGCAGGGCTGCCCCTGGGGGTGGGGGGTGAGGGAGGAGGTTCTCGGGTCCATGGCAGATGTGAATAAAGGGTCACAGAGAACAAGGCTCATGCACTGGAGTATCTGGGGTAGAGGTTCCAGAAGTGCTCCCCCACCCCACACACCATCTGTCCCTTCCCACTTAGACCACTACCTTTAGTGGCTGCCCTGGGGCCAAGCGCTGCGGCTGGAGGCGCTGGTGCCGATGGCCCTGCCGGCCGGGGGCTGGGCCGCACAGACCCTCCCTTATCCAGGACCGCCAACAGTCGCTGCTGCTTGTAACGGGAGAGGAGACCCTCCTGCTGCAAGGTGGCCTGGGAAGGAGAGGGTTCAACGCCACCAGGCAGGGCAGAGCCTCCCCGCTTCTCCACACCTCTACTCCCCACCAGCCCAGCCTCCGCCTCCCCTACCAGCAGGAGGTTCTTGTCCCTCTGCAGCTCCTGCAGGCGCTGGGTCAGCCGCAGCCCCTCCTCCTTCCGGGCCTCTTCCTGCAGGCGCCGGAGCTCCTGGTTCCGTTCCTTTTCCCGGGTGGCTTTGCGCTGCATCTGGCCCAGGGAGACCACTGTGGGGAAGCAGGGGAAGGTGTGGGGCTGCCCAGAGGTCGCGAGGCTCCATGAAAACAAGACTGGGATGATGGGCAGGAGCGTTGGGTCCTAGCTTGGTGACCACCCCTTCTGTACAGGGAGAGGGGTTGCCGCTCTAGGACCCTGTCAATCTGCTCCCCACCCGAACCTTCCCGGAGCCCTGAGGGGAAACTGGATATGAACCGAGTATTAGATTTTGTCCAACAAATGTACATTTTCATCAATGTGGCAATGGCGTTGAGGCTTATGGGACACTGTCCTCTCTGTAGGAGATGCAGGTCAACAGCCATGATGCTTGTAATTCACTGACTCCCCAGAAATGTATCTGGTGGTGTGTGCAGAGGAGCCAGTGTGGCAGGTGAGCGAGGGCGTGAGCGAGGGCTGGGTCGAGGCGCAGAAGGACGGTGCAGGCGCTCATCACAGGACTGTCCTCCCTTGCGAGGGGTTAGACATTTTTCCTACTAAAGAGCTGGGGGTCCTCGGTGGGGAGGCATGGAGGGGCGTCGCCTCTGTGGAGGGTGCTGGCTACCTGGGTGCTTGGTAACTCCAGCACCTTCCAAGGAAGCTTCCCAGAAAGCTTCTAAAATAACCTGTGTCTACACA